CCAGCACCAGCACCAGCACCAGCACCAGCACCAGCACCAGCACCAGCACCTGCCGGTCTCATTCCCATTTCAAAGGCGCTCAGCTGCACTTTTGGCCTGTGGCCATTGTCATGGTCATTGCGTGGCGCTGCAGTGGAAGTGCTGGCTGCCTGGTCATCCTGCCAGCCTGCATCTCCTCTAAAGGGGTTGTTTGACCTGAATGAGGAAGCGTTGGAGATGGATGCTGCGGATTGCCCAGTCATTTGATGCTGAATGTGTGCGCTCATGTCGACGCAATCACCAACGCTCGGGTCGCGAAGGCCGGGTAGCGATTAATGGCAAGGGCAAGTTGACTGCGCGTAGACCTCATCGACACTGTCACAAGTGTGAATCACGGCTTGCTTTGCTTGGTCGGTCAGTGTGAGTCGTGAGTGTTGACAGCGAGTTGTGTGAGTTGCGCGATGATCACCAGGAATGTGAATGCAAGCTGTGCTGGTCGAGGCACACGAATGGGGACTTTGTGATTGCCGATTGTGATTTGATTATGGCGTTGTGGCAGAATTGCTTGGCGCCGCCTTCCTGCTGCCCGCTCGCTTCAGGCCAGCCAGCCAGCCAGCCAGCCAGCCAGCCAGCCACCTTTTGTCGTGCGCCATGCACCGCGGCCGGGTGCTGCACCCCGACGCTGCTTGCTGCATGCCGCATGCGTGAACCTGCGCCTCCACCTCGAGAGGCGCAATCATCAGTCACGTGCACATATGATTTGGACCTCATTCATTTGATTCAATCTTGAAATGACTCAAGATTCACGATACAAGATTCGAGATTCAAGACTTTTTGTCAAATCTTTTGATTTCCATTCAAGAATTTCACTTCAAAGCCGTGCACTTACTTGTTCATCAATTTGGGTAGTCCATGCCGCATTGCTTCCTTCCACTCAAAGTCAACATTGTCCGCCAGCAAACTGATGACGCAAAGAGATGAAGAAGCTCATGGCGATGATCAACCAGGACTGCCTCCTTCCCGTTGGAGGGTACAATGTTTGTGCAGACGCACTCTCAGCAAATGCGCGCATCTCGAATCACGTTGAAGTGAAACAGAGGACGCCAAATCTTGAGCAATGCCGGCAGAAGCAAAAGCGATTGGGATGAAATGACGTCTGCAGATATATAATCGCAATCTACAAATCCTTGCCGACCTTGTACTGCAACAGTTGGCCCAGCTGCATCAGCTAATGCTGCAAGTCGTGCGCATCATACGCCATTCTGTTCCCACATGGCTCACCTGACTCAAATCGGTATCCGGCTCCAACTGACCATTCCTCTCGTTCCTCTTTGCGCCGAAGAAAGTGTAGCTCAGCACCACTTCCTTGACATCCCTCGCCGAAGGGTCCTCCATCACATCCCGGTCTATGAAAAAGAATACTGGCAGATCAACCTCTTCGCCTGCAAGTAGTCTCTGCTCCTCAAAGCAAAAGCATTCCACCTTGGCAAAGTAGGGAGCGATCTGCCATGCAGCGCAATCGTTGATCATCATTAGCCTGGCTCATTCACATGCGAGTATAGCCTTGACGCGATAAGCGCCCCTCCCATGCAACCCCCGCTGGCAGACTGGCTCACCTTGTCTGGCGCTACATTGTACGTGGCGATGCCCGTGATATCCTTTGCACCCTTGTTCCAAGCCTTGTAGAATGCCAGTGCAGTCTCTCCGGGCAAGACCCAAATCTCCTTTTGACTGGGTTCGAACTTCCATGGCAGAGCATCGCTCGAGTCTGCATTGAAAGTGACTCGAATCCTGGGCGTCTCTTTGCCTGTGCGCGGATCCAACCATGCTGGGATGAGGTGCGTGGGTGCATACCTGCCCAAGCCCACGATGGGAGTGCCGCTGAAGCCGGTCTGTGCGCAGAATGCTCGATACAGCGGCACCGCAGCGTACGTCACACCCACGCCGAGAATGAACTTTGCAAAGGGCGCGCGTGCTAGAATGTCAGCTGTGCTTTGCTCTTGCTTGATGTGCGTGTGGGGGTGTGTGGGGGTGTGTGTGGGGGTGT